GCCCCGCGGCTCAGCAAAAATCTTTTTAAAAAAGAGAAAACAATGATTACCAAAAATGTCAGAGCTGCTTAATAAAAGTAAGAAAAGTGTGAGAATGGAATGATTATATACTGGATGAATTCTACCATTGAGGTTGAAGTTCTACTATTTAAGGCTAAATTTGAATTTAATGAGGGTTTTGGTTTTCTTCCTCTGAATAATGTACCAGTGACTGTAGATGTTAATTATGTGATATAGGTTTCAGCAATTGTAATCTATTGTACCCTTGAAACAGTAGACCTAATGGGTAATATTTTAATGTGAAGAATTCAGTCCAGCTTTAAAATAACTATAAATAAGTAGCAATATGAAGGTTTATATTAAAAGATAATTTTCTTAATTTTTCCAACAGGGTCAACATATTTCATTAGCACCTATTCACAAGCTTGAAGAAGCTCTGTATGAATACCAACCACTGCAAATAGAGACTTATGGACCACAGGTTCCTGAGCTCGAGGTATTAGGAAGACTTGGGTAAGTGTCCAAAACAACTACATATTGAGGAACTGATGTATAGAATTTTGTTGTTACTGCTTTTTTCTTTAATTCATGATATAGCACATGCACATATGACCAAGAGAGAAATGAACACCCTCCAGAAGGTCTGGTCATGCCAACAACTTCTTCCTCTGGTCCTCCAGCTCATTAGATCTTGAGCACTAGTGTATGTGCCTGGCATATTTTAGGCTGAACGGGCCAGGGATTGTAACCATGGTTGCCATGTGGGATGTGATATCTTTTGAGCAGTGCAGTACAGGTGGGCCAGGGAGTTGGGCCTATGGGTCTATTTTAACTAACGCTTTGAAATTCTTAGATTTTTAGTTTGTAGAACTTTAGTCTTTTGTAAAAAATGAATAGTACTTGTACTAAATTAAGTTTCATTTAGTACATTAATATTTCTATGAACTTGTGAGTTCTCTTGAGATTGAGACTGGAATTCATTAGTTCCCTTTTAAGGCTATTCTTGGCATTCATATTGTAGTGGCTGTTCATTTTCATCTCACTGTGTGTGTGTGTGTGTGTGTGTGTGTGTGTGTGTAATTGGGGCTTAATTTAGTTAGAAGTAAGCCAGTAAAAATATGAGTGGGCTCCTTGCCATTTTTGAAAAAAGGGTAGAGTGGGAACCAGCAGTTAGCGTAATGGCTATGTCGCTGGACTCCCACGTAGTCGACCGCGGTTCATGTCCCGGACCCGGTGGCTTAAAATC